CCGCGCTGTCCCGGCCGCCCCTGGAGCTCTGGGACGGCGGAAGAAGTACCACGGCCGCCAGGGGGCAGCATGGTCGCCACCGCTTAAAGGCGCCTCTCCGGCCCTCGTAGCCGCTGGGGGCTTGTTTGTGTCGCGGCCAGAGGGCGCAGACGTCCCGCCGCGTGGTTTCCCTTGCAGAAGGGGCGACAGCGGGGAGTCCTGGTGTGGACACTTTGTGTCTGTCGTGTGGAAGTAACCGATCCACCGAGCTTCGGTCCTCAGATGCATCACCGTACCCCAGCGGTCTTCACGCCCCCCCCAGCATTTGGTTGCAACTGCGGGGGGAGGGGAGGAACGTTCAGAGAGGTCGTCTCTTGTCGCCAGGGGAAGCTGACCCAGGCCCAGGTTTAGGGCGTTGACCACCATCTCGCAGGACGCGGCCAAGATGAAGGGAACGTCCCCGCACCCTTCCTTTCGCGGGGCGGGGTGCAGGGGTGTGGTTGGGCATCAGCCTCAGCACCTGCCATCACCAAACCCCACTTGCCCTGCACAGGCCCTCCGGGGCCTTGCGGAGCCTTCCTGCCCTCAGAGACCAGCCGGTTTAGGGAGGAGAAATGGACACCTCTCTTTTCCCAGGCCCAGACAAGAAAAATGCGTCACGTGGGTGTGGAACGCTGGGGTGGAGGGCTCGGAGTTTTGATGGAGATTTAAACTGGCCTTGGGAAATCTGAGAAGAGGAAGAGCTTGTATTGGGAAGAGAAAAACTAAAGAACTGGGGCGTTAAGGGGATGAAAGACTTTCCTCAGCCGAACTCAGCAAGCTCATCTTAAGTCTTCTTTCTGCCTAGGCTCTGGCCTTGGGCTCTGGCCTTGGCCCCTTGAGACCAGGTTTAGCAAGAATCCTGCTGAATCAGGAAAATTTGCTACCCTTGGTAGGCGATCACCCCGGCCTGTCGACAGTAAAAATTATGTCAAGTCAACTTACCCAGAATGCCCAGAGCCTTGAGGTTTGCCCTCAGTTTTCCATTCACCAATTCCTCCACCCCCATCCTTAGGCTATAAATTCCCACTTTTCCTTGTTAGAGTCAGTGGAGCTCCGCCTCTCCCCTGCTGCAAAGCCCCACTGCAGAAGTCTCTCCTTAAAGTCTTCTTGCCATTTTTAGCAAGTGCCTTTGCGTTTTCTCTAGCCAGGATGAGTGGGGAGTGGGAAAGACTCTGGCTGGAGATAGGGCGTGGCATCCTCAGCCTCGAATGCGCAGAAGGGAAAAGTGACAGGTCTAGAGGCAGCTCTGTGCCTTGGAGGCTGGCTCTTTGACTCTGGCTGGAGATAGGGCGTGGCATCCTCAGCCTCGAGTGCGCAGAAGGGAAAAGTGACAGGTCTAGAGGCAGCTCTGTGCCTTGGAGAGGCTGCTTCTTAAAAAAAAAAAAAAAAATGTCTGCCTCTTAGAAGAGATCATGATAAGAGCACCCCCAGGACAGAGCAAAAAGAAAAGGGTGTACCCAGGGATTTAGCTCAGTGGTTCTGCTGCCTGCCTGGCAAGCACAAGGACCGGAGTTCGATCCTTGGTACCAAAAAAAAGAAAGGGACAATGACAATAGAGGGCTCACTGTTGAAGGCCACAGTAGGAAATCCCACACAGTCCCAGGCTGTAAGTGCCCTGGCATCCTTAGGATAGAGAGCCATGGAGGCTGGGTGGTCCAGGAGGCTTCCAGGAGTTAGTTCCTTTATTCCTTCAACAAACACAAGGAGCCCAGTGTGTGGCAGAAATGCACCTGAGTACCCCCCAGCTCTTTTCCTTCTGGTCTTCCAAGTCACATGAGATGGGGTGAACTTCCAAAGTGATCTGGAACACCTACCATCTTCACCTCCCAGCCAGACCACCCCTTGCTTTGTGACCTTGTGGCCACTAAGCCCCTCCTCAGCACTGAAAAAAATGTGTCACAGAGATGTGGTAGGGGAGGGGGTAAGAGTGGTAGAATCTCTCACTGGACCAGAAAAGTAGTCTCCGTCTTCAGAAAGACCCAGTTTAGGGGTCCTGGTTCAGCCCTTCTCAGCTTAGCAACTCACTTAAGCCTCTGAGCTCCACATGGAAAGGTAATGCTCACCTTGAAGGTGAGGATTTGAACAGGTAGTTGGGGTAGAGACCAGGTCACACAGGGCGCTGGGCCTAACCTTCTAAGTGAGACAGGAGTCCCTGTCAGGAGAATGACACTTTGTCTAGTTGTACCAGGTTCACTGTGATACCATGTCAAGGAGCAAGAACGAAGGAAGGAGACCAGCTGGGTGTATGCTCCGGTGACCTTGGCCAGCAATGATGAGGGCTCTTGGAGGCGAAGGTGGGGAGGAGTGGGTAGATTGTAGGAAGAGTTTGAGGAGAGCTGTGGGATTTTCTGCGGCTGGCACATGGGAATGCAAGCAAAAGGGACATTACGGGTGTCTGAGGTCCCTGGCCTAGGCAGCTGGACCAGTGGAGTTGCAGACAATTGAGACAGGGAAGACAAGGAGGTCCAGGTTTGGAGGCTCAGATCACGAGTTCCATTTTGGACATTTGCCAGACAACCCACAGAGATGTCAAATAAGCAACTTGATAAAAGAGGCTGAAGTACTGGACTGTGACTCAAACTAGAGATAAAATCGGGAGTTGTCAGTCAGAGATTTTACTCTTACAGTCATGGGAGACTGGATGAGATCACCTGGGGTGTGAAGGGTATGCAGAGAAAAGGTCAAGGATGAGCCAAGAGACATGACTGTTTAGAGGATGGAAGTGAGGAAACGGGGGAAACCAGGAGAGCACGTAGTCCGGGAAGCCAAGGGAGGTTGGCATCTCTGGGGAAAAGGAACAATCAGGTGGGCAGAATAAAAATGCAGGACTGACAGGTGGCCTTGGATCTGACAGCTGGGAGGTCATTGGTGGCCTTCAGAAAGCAGATATGGAAGCATCTTTCAGATATATTGTGTCAGGCCCAGGATTTAGCTCAGTGGTTCTGCCACCTGCCTCACAAGCTCAAGGTCCTGAGTTTGATCACCGCTACCAAAAAAACAAACATACAAACATATATTGTGTCAAAAAAAGCCAAGTATAATACAGGGCTGTGGTAGGCTGCCTCTGCCTAAAAATATAGAGTGAGAGAATGATGTGTTTGTACAAACTGTCTAGTTTCTGAAAAGATACACAACACTCCAGGAACATTGCCTTTGGAGAGAAAAACTGGGAAAGGAGGTACCTGGAATAAGGGGAACCTCGTTTTTTGGTTTTTGTTTTTGTTTTTTGTATTTATCAAACTGTTAAAATATTGTTCATCAAAAGTGCATTACTTTGGCTATTACAAAATAGTTATAAAAATAGTTATAATAAGGAAAAACACATGGCTATTATGAAATGGGAAAACATGGGAAGTGCTGGGTACAAAAGCCCAGAAACATCCATTTCCTGCGGCAAGGGCTGTTTCAAGAAAGGGAACCCTCAGGGGCTCCCATATGGGTTTTCTAAACCTTCACCAAGCTGAAAATGGATTGGAAAAAGCTTTTTCTCCAGTGTGTATCTTATTGCAAAATAACATTTTCCCATAAAACCCAAGGGGCATCATCATACTTTAAAACATTGCAAATAATTACTTGCCATCATCTAAAATTTAATTCATATATTCTATGATATGGATGTGGTTTGATTGTGTCCCTTAAAAGATTCATGTGGGAGGGGCCAGGGATTTAGCTCGGTGGTATGGCCACCTGCCTAACCAGCGCAAAGATGGGAGTACAATCCCTGGTACTCCTCCCAAAAAAAAAAAGATTCATGTGTGGGTTGGGGGGAGGAATTGGGATAAAATAAAAAATAAATAAAAATAAAAAGCAAGAGGTACAAGATCCCAACAATGAATGTAACTGTACTGTATCCCTAAAATGTACCAATAAACTCAATTAAAACTGAAAAAAAATGCAAAAAAATAAAAAGAAAAAGC